AAATGAAATATAGCACCATCTTACCCCTTCTGGGATGTGAAGAAATGGTACTTGAGCATAACATTTTTTCATGTTCATGTACAGTATGGTTGTTCTAAACTTACCAAGTCTTGCACAGAGATTTTATATCTTTGTGTCAGGAATCAGTCCTGTGGGTTTGTGGTAGTATGATGGATAATATTCCAAGCCGATTTTTCACTGTTCTGGCATCCTCAGGAAACAGGTAGTATAGTATCCAGCAATAAAAAATATCAGTTGATCCAATGGTCATAAACACATTTTTCTCTACTTTCTCTATATAAATGACTAGATCTCTGGAGACTGTTTTGAAATTGTAGGGATGGCTATTCCATGTAGTGAGCTGTGTACATAAGCTACAGCTACGTGGTTATGACTGCTTGTAGCAATAAACTCCTTCATATGTAAGTAGTTCTGTAATTTTGAGCAACTCTCACAAGGTGGTTATTGTGTGAATTAAGACAGCCCAGAGATGTTATTTATCAATTAACAGTGGAGGTGGAATCCAACAAGTAATTATTATGTTTCATGCTCAGGGCTGATAAGACAAAAGCAATATTGCTAGATCCACCATGGAGACATACGTATGCCTTGTCCCTCAGGTAAATGTAATAAAGAATTCTTGGAAAGGGTTTCAGAAACATTAAACTCTTAATACAAGATATAATTAGTCCAACATGTCCAAATGACTGTACATTTCCAACAAGTGATGTGTATTTTGATATTTTGATAACGGCAACTCGCAAGCAAGAAAGGCTTTAATTCCATTTTCAGACATTTGCTAAATTGGCAGAGTGGTGGTTATGATGGTGGCCTGAACAAAGCTTGAGTGCTTGGACTTTCTCGATTGAAACAAGACAACATTTGAACAAGAAGGCACATTTATGCATTATTCTAATGTCCAGTTAGAATCATTCTTACATCTCTGTGTGAAAATCTCTATATCTGAAAATCTGTTCTTTGTATTCGGGGATCTGATTAGCTGGCTTTTTACAAATATTCTTGCTTTTAAGGCAAAATGATCTTATCTATTTTAACTACCAGAATACAGCGCCTCCATTTTATTACAGAAGAAAAACACGTCTGTAAATTAAGTATATTTGTTTCAGCCCTTGGATTCTGTACAGCATTTCCTGTGATCTTTAGAATGTGGCATCTTCATGATAACAAAAAACAGGGGCGTGGAATATTTTGCAGCATTGAATGCAGTCAGTGATTCCTTGTTTTGCCTCCTTTGGATTATGTACCACGAGACGCTTCATAATCTGTACTGCTTCCTCCGAGGTCAATCCCCAAGACAGTCTTTGACACAAGTAGCTCTGCAGATGAAACTATATTAGAATAGGGTGACTTTGCTGGTTAGGGTTCATTTCCTTTCTGTAATGTGTAAAATGTTATCGCAATAGGCAACCAGTTAAGATCTACATGCTTCCTGTATCCTTTTCCTAACATACTTCTGGTAGTTAGCATTATTTCCACTGAAGTGCCTGTCTAGCTGCTGTAGCAATGCTGCAATGACATATCTTTTTATAAAGTGAGTGATACTAAACCATCTTCTGGTTAATCCTAGAATAAATGTGTAGACTGAATTAACATTACAGCAATGAGCCTTGAACTCAAAAGATGGGAGAATGAATACAGGGTTAAACATAATTTCTTATAAATGTACGAGGTGCTAGAAAGTGTTTGAGCCTCTTGATATTTTGCTGTCTCTCACTTGACCTTAGAAATTGTTTAATTTTACTTAGAAGTCAGAGAATTGTGCACGGTTGCACAATCTACATCTAGGTTAGCTCATGGATGAAGAAGGGAAATGTGTACACTTTTCGATGGGTATCTGTAGCACATTTGTGCTATTAATAACAAGGTGCTGAAACTAAAGGCACAATGGGAGGCTAGAATTTGTTACTGAAACAGAATAGCCATTGTATAAGGGGTTTCTAAGAACTGTCTGTTATTTATGATGTACATTTCTTCTACTTATTTTTACTGTTTCATACATTGAGATTTTATGGTTATTGTCATTTCTTAGCTGTAATTCCTCTTGGCTTGATCCTACCACTGTATTTACATTTCTTAACTGGCTGTAGTATTTCTAAATAACCTGTTTATGGATTTGAAGGAATTGATGAAAACAATCACAATATAATTTTCAAGATTAGGAATTAAACTGATATTGTAAGGGAGAAGGTAACAATAAAGGAGAATACCATACTTCACGCTTAGGTCTTAGAGCTCTTAATTCTATACTTCATTTTTTTCAGAGATTTATCTGGATCTCTTCAGAATGTTCTTTCTCAAAAATATTTGTACTTCTGCATGAGCTACAACAGCGCCTTCAACCTTTTGGGTGCCTGGGACTGGTTCCATGAAGAGATGTTTTTCTGCCGACCATAGGGAGCATGGTTTCACATGCTTCCTGCATCTCATGTGGGCACAGATGGGGCTTCATTAGTTTGTGCAGCCTGGTTTCTGGCGCACCCTAGACCAGTGCCAGTCTGTAGCCCAGAGGTTGGGGACCTCTGAATTACAATACAGTAGCTACACTTAAGGTCATGTTGAAACTTAATTACATCTCAGGAAAAGCTTTCTAATGGAGTTAGTGTATCTTTCTCCCTCATAAATGTTGCACAGAATTGCAGATTTATACAGATGTAATACAGTATATCAAAACTATAAAGTTCCAAGCATTGGATTCCAGTTTTCATTATTGCTGATTGCTGACCATGCTTTGGTAAGAATTCAGAGGCTCCTAACACAATTTGTTTCCACTTATTACCGCACTCCAAAATATCTATACTCTTTTTTGTTGTTGTTAATGTTGCATTGTAACTATGCATTCTCTCTCTTCTAAGTGGGATACCAATAGTATTCCATTCTATGTTTATATAATTTTTGAAAAAGCACAAGTGGAATGTACACATTTCATAATCAATCTGTAATCCCAGTGGAGTGTACCATTACTCAGTGGTGTTGACAATTCATTCTATTTATTTTGAACTTGATTTATTTGTATATTTTGCAATTTTATTGAAAAGCAGTTTATTTCTGTTAGATAAATGTGTTTTTCCTGTTGACCTTTCTTTAAGTGGTTCCTTCACATTCCATGCATCATCTTTTGTTAATAAGAGGACAAGATGGTAATTTTCTAAAAGTAGCTTCCAGGGAGAATGGAAGGCTTCTTCCAAAGGAATGTTTGACTTCCGAAAGTCTTTGGTCAGGATTTGACTTTGTTGTTCATGAATGATTACTTGCAGTCTTGTTAATGGTCAGTCACCAGCTAGAAAAGGAGAGAACATTATGCTGGTATTTGTTTTCATGTAGAAGCAAAACATTGTGTTTTTTTAAAAAATATTTGGGATAAAATTAAGAACTAGCTGGCCTTCCAATTTTCCTTCCCTCCTAGTGTGATATTCTTATTTCTAGTATTCATGGAAGATTTGGGTGTTCAGTTAAGCCCATTGTTATATACTGAACAAGCTGATGATGGAATTTTTCTTTCCTACATAAGACATATACATTTATTTTTAATCTAGATAAAAACGGCTGCAGTGTTCATGTCAATCTATCTAATGAATATTAATCATATACTTCAGTTGTTTCTATGCATTTTAGGGTTTTTTTTTAAAGACACCAAAAACAATGATTCCTTTTCAACTTTAAGCCAGTCATCCCTTAATGTTAGTAGGATGCCGCACTCAAATAAAGCAACCATATTAAATTATCTCCGTGGCGAACAAAAGTAAAGAAGGTTTTAACAGAAGAGCTGCTGGCCAAATTTGTGCTGCAAAGTAAGAACCCTTTAAACAGATTTTGTTTCCTGCTTTCTTCTAAAAGGAAGTGAAAACTAATACAACATGGTATGAGCTTAGTGGAGTATGAGCTTACTGCAGAAACAATACAAATACACGACGCTTAGTGAAAACTACTCAAAATATTAAAATATATGCCTAATATACCGAGATTGCTTTTCACTCCTCTCTCCATGTGACTGAGATGGCATGGTGACATGTCAATCAACCATTTCTGTACTCGTGGAATAAAACAGGACTCCACAAATCACTGTTGGATGCAATGACCATTTTTGCTGCGGGCTGTTTTTCAGGACAACCAGAATGCCTTAGACACTGAGACTTGCATCTAGATTTATTGAGGAAATCTATAAGGCATAAGCTATATTTCAGACCAGAGCAAACAATTGGCTATATTTGGACTTACATGAATTAGTCTCCATTGCCACAATTGGGTTCTTTTTTCTGTACTTCTGGTTTCCTCAAATCTGCTCTGGAGGATCTAAATTATTTTGCTGTATATGATACTACTGGCAACAAATCCCACCTTCCAGCATTCCCCACTTTTTGATCATCTTCTTTCCTATCGAAGTGTTGAGGACAAATTTGAAGCGTTGCTGGATATGCTTGCTACCATTGTAGATAATTTCTTTTAGAAATAAAAGTAGTAGTTGAACTGACTATACTTACCAAACTAAGACAAGGTGACTGCAACTTGGTGAAATTATTGATGGGGCAACTAAGAGCTGGTTCACAAGGCAGAAATCCACAATAACACAGAACAGGATTGCAATTGGTTAAGAGTGGGTTGTTGGAACTCCTAAGACAACCTTGATCTGTTGCCTATGGGCAGCCTCTTCCAATGCTGATTGCACTGATAATACACAGCTCATTATGATGTAGGTATTCATTTCTATTCCAAGATTAACCTCTGGACAAAATCCAAATTGCCCACCATTGCCATCAAGTTACAGCAAAATGCAATAAGGTTTGGATAATGGGAGCTGAATATCCCAGAATTGCTCTACATTTCATGAAACATCTGTACTTTTCATAATGGTTATTATCCCTGGTTGAGATGTTATTCACATATCTTTAAACTTGCTTGTAAAACTTTTGGTTAGCCAGTCTAACACTGATAACTTTACCTTTTTTGCATCTTTTCAGAAACACATAAAAAGCTGCTTATGAATATCATAATTTTTATTTGCAGATCTGTCAGAGCAGTACCAGCTTATCCTGCTGATTTGCAATTCAGTGTGTTTAATAATGGAATATAATTACTATTAAATGATTCAAAATAAAAATTCCAATATTTTAAAATAGGGCCTCTTTTCTGTCTTCTATACACCAATGGCACAGAATGGTAAGAGATATGTTTACACTCCAGGAAATTGCTTATTTATATGAAAAAGAAACCCAGGCAGCCTTGCACTAGAGAGTAACTACCAGGAAATGTGCTTTAATTTAACAGCCTGAAGTAATTAATAAGACAACAAGCCAGGCCCTCGGAGCCTTTTACAAATATTATGAAGCTGACCTTCATTGAGTCTCATTCTTGGAATGGAGGTAAAAACAGTGGCCCAACAAGGACATCCTGTTGAAGGCGTTCTTTTTTGTAAAGGCTCTGGAACCATTTGCTGCCACATATTCCAACTCTGTAGGAGTGAGCCGAGTGGCTGCTAGCTGAAAAAAAGAATCTCACTCTGACACAGAGCTACAGTTTTAGCAATAATAAAGTAATGAAAAGAGGTGCAAATAAAACTTCCTTTTTAAGGTTGTAATTTTCTTTGTCTGGACTACATGAGCATTTGTTTTCTTTGAGGCCATGCACGCATACAAAACCACTTCTTATTTTCCTTCTCCCATAAAATTGAGCACAAAAGGCATAGATCTCCCCAGTAGAAATAATCCGGGCAAAGCACAAGCACATGGAATAAGGATCCATTTTAGAAGGTTCCAGAACACAGGTATCACATGCCTCCATCAGAATGATAAAGCTTTCAAATTTCAGCCACAGAAAACTACCTATCGGACATCCAAGAACAGATGGTATTTCATCAATCATAAAGTATAAAGATGAATAGAAGCTGGAAATCAGTAGAGCAAAGGCAGACGACCGCGCTTGACCAGATGAACTGAACCCTGAAAATACTCCCATTTTTACACATACAGGATTGAGGAGAGAGAGAGAGAGAGAGAGAGAGAGAGAGAGGACTCCTTCCATAAAGGATCAAATAACTACTATAATTGCTGTGATTACTGCAGGTCATGGAAACCTTCCTGCCTGAGAGGCTACTTTAATGAAATGAACCAGTAGAGAATTAAAAAATACATAAACAAGCCTTCCTTTTTATGTGTGTGCAGGGGATGCATTTGGGCTGTCTATATGTGGTCTTCATTCAGCCAGCACATTCTTTGTATATTTGGAATAGATCTGCAAGGAATAAGCTTGCTAAAGATAAAGGGCTCCTGATTAGTTTTTGTTTGCTTGCTTGTGTATTATTCCCCACTTGGGGGGAATCCATTCCTGCCAATTCCTGCTATAGCCACATTTAATGAAAGTATTTTCTATTCTTCCTCTTCTTCCTCCTCCTCATCATCATCCTCATCATGGCAATGTGTAATCTCTTGGGGTGTTTGAGGGAAGAGATTGGGTGGTTTAATCTCACTAACAGATCGGGTGAGCTGATGTCGCTTGTCGGAATCTTTGAAGTCCACTGAAGTGCGGTTACGGGTAGCCATTGGGGATTCAGTCTCATTGATATCCACATGGGTGTGCTCCACTGTTGACTCGTGTGGCATCTGCAATAGAGAAGAGAGTATCTTTCCCTCAGTGCTCCAAGAAGTTAGGTGACTCATTAGCTGCATTATTTGCAAACACTGACATGGATTTTCATTTCTGTATAAGACCACAAAGAAGCTTACAATAGCAAAAACAATGCATTAAAACAGACGTGCAACAACGTTGTATTAAGTTGCTTACATTTTGAAAAACTAAAATATTTATATCACAAAGCAGGGGACAATCTGCCTCTCCTACAGAGGAATTTGTCGCCCTAGAGTGGTGAGTATTTACTGACATTAACAAAATGAGAGAGTTGTGAGGAACTCCTTGTATAGGAAAGCCTGCAATTTTTCCTTATCGAGGGCTAACTGGCCCATTACCAACTCTGCTTACAAAGTATTTCTGCAAGCACCCTATTGGTCATATGGATGTAGGTGTAATATATCTTGTGTAGCTTCCCTGTTTAATATGAACCAGTCAGATATGGGTGAATTCAGGTTCAAGTCAATGTCTTCATGGGGATCATTTTTCAGAACTGCTCCTTAAAAGTAGAATTTCAAACTGCTCCAAGCCTATCTCACTAGCATTCAGAGAAAGTTATTTCAGAAAAAAGGTCTCATTGGTCCACCCTTATCATGTCTACTCTTGTAACTGATTAGCCTCATTTTTTTTCCTGTATGCAATGCCAATGTCCTCCTGCCTGATACACTAGGCCACATCTCTCTTCTGTTGAGAATGCCTTACTCTATATCTTGAAGAGTCAGAAAAAGGTCTGGACCATTCTGTCTAGCTGAATGAATGAAAATCCGTTTCAACTTACCAGCACGTGGGCAGCTCTGAAGAGGTAACTGAAAGGATAATACAAGAGGTTGATGAAAGATGCTGCATAGAGATCTGCATATCGCATCACTTGACTAGCAAACAGCGTTTGTCGGGAACCACTTCGGAACAAACTTCCCATCATCCCATAGCACATATCCATGTCATGAGTCACTTTCTAAAATCAGAGAAGGAAGTTAGTAAGCATTTGCCAGGCTCAACAAGTCTTTCTAGAAGTGAGAGCTTTAATTCCTATATAAGGGTTTCCCATTTAATTCAGGGGATGCTAATTCCATTTATTAAAAACAGATGCCATTGGAAACATAGAACAAACCTGTTCCTGCTGGATTACAGTTACAGATCAAAAGCTTTTATAGATAATGGATGTTAGGGAATGTTGTTCACAACTTAACTGTTCCTTGTAGTAGCAGGCCATTAGGGCTTTGTGTTTATATAACTTGACAGCCAAGGAGGCATTTTTAGAATAAGTAAAATGGGATGGGAAGTACTGAACTCTAGAGCATACACAAAGAATGTGTATGGATCAGAAACTTCTAGTCTCCCCACATGTTTTACATATATTGTTGCCACTGCCTTCTACTTTCTTTAGCCATCATCCTACTTATTCAGTCCTACTTTTTCTCTGATGTACAAACCATAATTTTAACAATACACTCTCATGTTTTGTAATGTTTTTCTACAATTATTTTTCCTTAAGACTGGTTTACACATAATGGGGTGGGTGTAAATATAGAGCCTTGGCATGAGGTCATATATATCATACAAAGCCAAATCAATGTGCAAATGCAGCCATGGCCTTCCAAGTTCCTCCTAGTTCCTTTTTTCACTCATTTCATGGCCTACATCCTGTAGAATAGCCTTCTAGTAGGGCTATTGCTATTGCCTTCTGCTAGGGCTATTCACTCCAGCATTGTGCTGAAGAACTGGAAAAGGGAAAGATTAACAAGGGGGCAAAAAGAAAACCACCAAGACCAAATGGTGAGCATTACCTTAATACGCCTCTGGATGGAACTGATATCGGGACGTTCATTGCTGCTACTATCCAAATGCCTGTTGACATTTAAAACAGTAAAGAGGTACATAAGGATGCTTTAAAAACTAACACGGACAAAGCAAAGACTTATTTAGGAAGATGACTGGGGCTCACACATAGCACCATTTTCAGATTTTATGTTAAATCCAGAAGTCACTGAAATGATTCAGCCACTGTAAAATGGTGAGGCTATAATGGCACACTGAAAAGATGTAATATATGGCTTATGTTGTGTGGATGAAAAAAAATTCTTACTTGTATAGCTCAGCCAAAAAGATGTCTAGACTCTGAAGTTCTTCAAAAAGGCCTAAGTGAGGGAGGAAAGTAAAGGTCATTTCCAACTGAAAGTCAGTGAAGCAAATAGGCCTGTCTATCAGGCAGTATTATTTTCACCAAAAGAACTAGAAATGCCAGAAGGCACAGATTCTTGCTTGCTTTATAATAATAATATGAAATCCTACTTGGAAAACCTCCTACAATTGTCACATGTCTCCTTTTTTTTAAAAAAAAAGGTACAGTGAGTATACATGGCAATTTTTATTCTTTATTTCTAGTCTGTGAATGGTGGGAACATTTACAGACTAAAAAAAACAATCTGCTTGCAATCAGTCTTTTTAATGTTTCTGCAATGTCTACCAAATAAAGATTTCTAAGATATTTGGAGACCTCTCAGAATTATAGCTCCTATTTTTGGATCTCTCATTGTTCTATTATGTTCATGTTTTATCTTTCCAATGTAAAAAAAAGTGTATTTATAGTGCATACTTCTTATTTAAATTTTTGCTGAAAGCAGCCTTGTACATTTTAATGGAAAAGCAGGGTATGTTTTGAATAAATAAAAACAAGAAACGTCACCAGCATTAGTGACATTATTATCAAAGGAAATAAATTCTTCCAAATCTCAATCCAAAATATATTAGGAAATTAGTTTCCACAAGGCATCAATATCACATTTCAGAATGATCTGGAGAAGTTTCTCTTTCCTAAAGTATGGATCCACCCAAACAAGTAGAATGCAAATAATCAATTGGGAACAAGGCAAATATGTTTCCATTTTTTCTATACCCAATTAAATCTGAAATTAGAATGTTAAACACTCACAGCTCTTGTCTGTCCAGACATGAAGTTCCTGTGCCAGTTCTGGAATCACTAAAAAAGTTCTCCAACCTTGGCGTTTTTTGGACTTCAAAATGTCTCCAAATATATGGTCACCTATATATAAGATGTCTTTGCCTTTGGCTCCCAGGAGATCACATACTGTGTCAGAGGAGCCTGAGGAGAAAAGAGGACAGTCTTAGGAACAATAATGATTTTTGCCCTTCACAAAAATCTAAGATGGCCTTGCTTTTCATGCACTGTTCCCTAAAACAGTTGTGACCAGAAAAAGTCAAGCACATTTATATGTAATTCTCGCCTGCTCTGCTTTGTTGATCGGAACATTTTCATTTGCAGGCCCAGTGCTTCCAAGTGGCAAGTTCAAGGTGACTGGGCCTTCTTCCCTCCCTCTCTCTCCCCGCCCCTCTCTCTCACACACACACACCACATACACACAAAATACAGAAAAGCACCCAATGCACAGACTGGATGCAATGCATGATACATTTATTTTATTCTGGAGTATGCAAAAATACAAACAAATCTGATTAGGAATGGCTGCCCTTCTGATGCATTCCTTAACAGCAGACATCAAAAGGGATACATAAGGGTGAGGGAGATACAAGCTGCTGCCTCTTCTTGTCCACTTACAGCCACATATTAGGGATGCTGTCAGCTATATTTCAGCTATATCTGAAAAGCCATGGTTTGTCCCTGCCATAAAGACAACATACAATGAATTGGGAAATAACTGTACCCAGCAGCTTATGCTGACTAAACCTCTGCTTTCATCAACAGAGAATGCCCTTGCTCTATAAAAGATATGACCCAGTTTCAACCTCTTAACTGAACCTGACTAAAAGCAAAATCCCTCTATTGCGCTTAATAAAAAAAAACAGCTTCATCTCTGTTTTACCTCCAGAGTAGACAATACCATGCTGCAAAGGACCTGTGTAGGTTCCAATTTTCAACTTGCCAGTAACCTATAAAGAAGAAGAAAGTTTTTTTCATGAGCAACATCTATTTTCCACTTGGAGGAGTGAGGGAAGGATAAATTAACACTCAATGGAAACTGTACTTGTTACATTGATCACATGGTGCTCTTTTCTTCTACAACTACTATGCCTTGACTGCAAAAACACAAACACCCACTAGATCAGGGGTCTCCAACCTTGGCAACTTTAAGCCTGGAGGACTTCAACTCCCAGAATTTCCCAGTCTGGCTGGGGAAATCTGGGAGTTGAAGTCCTCCAGGCTTAAAGTGGCCAACGTTGGAGACCCCAGCACTAGATGACTTCAGTGTTAAGGGTTTAAGATACAGTATCTCTTTACTGCCATTTACTGGAGTTCTTGCCAAGTTAAGGTGTAAATTAGCATATTTTGCTTAGTGCAAATGGTAACAGGCACTATGACATAATGGCTCAAAGCAGAAAATGGGAAGATCGTCACAAGGAACAGGGCTAAATTGCATCTGTGACATTTACCTACGTATGATCAGCACTCTCGGAGTATCTCCAACTCTTGCCTGAACCTTAGTTAAAAACAATTAAACCACCTCTGCAACAGCAAGGTTTCTGTAACTTACAAATGACTCCAGGAAAACACTAGCGAGAATAGCACAAGCCTATACTGCCAAATGGTATAGTACAAATGGTGATCACAACCAATTCTTCCTGCAACAAATTACCTCCAGCAGAGATTTGGCTTTGATATATTATACTGTGACAATGAGGTCTTTGCAGTTGCAGTGGAACTGATTTTAGCAAAATGAGGATCCCTAAGCTGTATGTAATAGCAGAAAGACAGCACAGACTACAAGAAGACTTAAAAGATCTATTTTAAAAGAATACTGTGTTTTCTTAATCAAACCATTTGACCCCAAATTTGCTATTAAATATAGTTGTGAGGTTATTATTATTTTTACATGTTTTTGGTGCCTGGACTAATCCCTGCGTTTTTCTGGAAAGATTTCAGTAGTGACTTGCCAATGTCTGTTTCCATGGGCTGAGAGAACGTGACTGGCCCTAGGTCACCCAACTGGTTTCATGCCGAGATAGGACTAGAACTCATGGTCTTCTGGTTTTTAGCCTGAAGCCTTAATCACTACTACCCCAAAACTGGATATCATAAATACAGTTAAGGGCAAGCGTTCAATTATTTTCAAAAGGGAAGAAATAACACTACAAGGTCCACATCCATATTCTACTTAGCAAAATAGGAATATGGTCTCCTCTTCCAGATGAATCTTAACCATGTATTCCGTGTAGACTTACTGTATCCACCTGCCTCAAGACTGTGCCTTCTCCAAAAAAAAGAGGCTTGCGGGCATCCACAAGGATGAGATCGAAATAAGACTGCCATGGTCGATGAGAGCTACCTGGCTACATTGAAAAAAAAATCAAATAGAAGCGCATCTTACTTAAAGTTCAAATAAACAAACAGCAACAATTCATACATAGTAGGTATTGGCTAACACTAGTTCTACAGCCAATACCACTAACTGTACTCTGTACCACATCTATTTTGATACTGCAACTACCGGTACTACAACTGGTTAATTACAGTGCTTGACAACATACTAAGAAAAGATCATCTAGAGAATTCATGTTTCCCAGTGATTAGTTAATTCAGATACATGATAATATCAGAAATATAAATCCTAAGTAGAAGTGTTCTTTTGCCTAAGGCTCTGATCTCTTATATATTCAACAAATAATTGGCACTATTAATTGTGTATCTATTAATCCAGGATATGCCATTACTCCTTTTATCTAAGCTGTTTCTTCAAATGCATTTTAGAAATGCAAATAAGCAAACAACTAACATTAAGAGGAATCAGTGCTGCTGATTAAATCACAACTAAATAGTTCAGAAGCAATTACTATTATTTAACTTCAAAAAGCTACCTTATCTGGCATATGAAGATGCATCAGACTTATTTCTGCCTGACCTATAACAACAAATCTAGGGTAACTGACACAAAACTTTTTTAATCTGAATTTTACAAATACATAAATAGCTCCATATATTTTCAGTGCCCAGGACCAAAACTGAATTCTATTCCTGAATTATTCAAGAATAGATAATGAATACTGTTCAAAACAGAATAACGCATCTCTTTGCACCTACCTTTGGTCCATGTGGAAAATCAAACAGATATGTCATAATTTTCTGAAAGATAGATAAGAAACAAAATGTAATACATAGTTTAAGTACCAAAATTAGAGGGTATATTTCCCATTTACTCATTTTTGAGTTAAATCAGTTCAGTTTCAGCAAAAAAAATTCACTAGCTTTAAATATATAAGTTATCTTCTTATATAAGAAGAAGAGATTTTAAAAACTGGACACTAGAGGGAACTAGAGGAAACTAAAGATTACAATTAAATAAGAATAACACTCAAAATTCATTTTATAATTACACAATGAAGGAAATTATTATAATATTGGACAATTGAAGGATATTGTTGAATAATGGACTCAGAAGTTAACTGCAATAAATGATCTTCTCATATTCCATCTGTTATTTATAAAAAATAAAAAATGTCATTTCAGTCCTAATATCAAAAAAGTCCATTAAATTCCAGATATAATAACATCAATTTTAACCAAATAACTCAAACATTCCTTCCTTTTACTTTTAACAATCTTGCTCTTGAGTCCCTTCAAATAACTTCCTCTTAATGTTATTCCTAAAACTTCCTATTTTTTCTTTGTCTCTTTTCATTAAATTCTTTAAAACTTTAAAACATCTGTTTTGTAAATCCAATATAGGAAAATTATCCAGTTACACTTTTGGTTTGCTATTTGTATATCCCTTTTAATTATTGAGACATCAGTTGGTTTCTTTTGTATATCCAGTGTAAAACCGGTAGTATCTGCCTCTATAGACAGACTATGTCTAAAAGATGTTATAACAATATTTTACACTGGATATACATTTCAAGGGAAGGTGATAAGTTACTAACATTATTTATTGATGTTGTGAATATATTTATATTTTTCCTTAAATATATTCTCATTTTCCTTTATTTTCTAATTGTTTTTTCTTGAATACACTAGGTTTTAACCTCATTCTCACAGTTCAAAGAAATAACTTCTTGAATCCTATACTACAATTATTTCTAAACAATTTTGTCACAAAACATTCTGAACCTAAATAAATATATTTTATTTAAACATTCAGAAGCAATTATGAAAAATGAAAGCAACCAAATTCCTAATAAAATGTAACTTATACTTTCTAGTTCCTGAATATATTTCACTTCTTCCTATTTCCTTCAGTGACTCACAGTGCACATGGGTTCACACTAGAAATGCTTACCCATCCTTCTACTTTGTTATACAGAGATATCCAAAGTAGGTCAACTCCTTCAATTTGCTCAAAAGATAGAAATCTTCAGACACTGCTACAATAATGTTTCTTACTTTGGACACTCTTCTGCAATTCTTTATTACAATTAATCTTAAGACAGAAAATAAACAGAGCCAAAGAATGAACAGTAAGATAGAAATTAAAGTAGCAGTCTCTTGCATGATGTAAACCTGAATGAAAACCTTGGGAAAACCACACAAGCTAGTGTGACTGTTTAGTTGACTTTTAATGAGAATACCACTGGTCTTTATGAAGATACTCCAGGTTTTTACAAAGAAGTTGATTGAGATACTGAGTACTGTGCAGGATGTCTAAAACAATTTGTACAGGCTTGGCTCAACTTTTTAATCATATAATCACTTCTTGCTATTAAAATACTAGTGCTCTGGAAGGCAATGTGGCACAGCAGTGTCATTATCAAATAGTTAGCTTCTTTGTCACATATGCTTGTAAAATATAAAAGCAATCAATGATGCCGTGGTTGAACTGCAATAATGTGGATGTTCTTGTCCACTCCTTGCAAAACGTGTCTTTGAAGTTTTTAGAAAGTATCCTGAAGGTTTTGAGCCTGAAAAGCACCTGCAATTGGTTCTTAGGTTGAAAGAATGACTAAAGAATGTCTAGAGAGGATTCAATCAGCTCTGGAAAAGAGCTTGAAGAGACTTTATGAAGCTTCCGTTTTACTTTTTCTTCCAAAAACATTTTTGCCTTTCTCTGTACCCTTCAAATGGATTCTACAAACAATAGAATCTGGGTACTATATGGAATGACTTCAGTCAGTTTTTAGTTACAGTAGATCTTGCTGTGTTTTTCCTGCAACAACAAGCTTTAGTTCTGTTTCTAGTTCACTACACTTTGTGACTGCCTGAATAAGAGGGTTGGAGCCTTGAGATGAAAGTGAATGGATTGCTGCTCCTTTCAAAGTTCTCATACTCAAGAAATATAAAGAGGATGGGGTTTAGCAATGGTATGCTTTCTGTTGAGCTTCTCAGATTTATTTAATATTTATTAGATTTTTATTTCACCTTTATTACTTTATAAGTAACTCAAGGTGACAAAGATACTTAATACTTCCTCCTCCTCCTAGTTTCCCCATGTCCACAGCCCCTGTTAGGTGTATTGGGCTGAGAGAGAACGACTGGCCAAAATCACCCAGCTGGCTTTCATTATTTAAAGCAGGGCTAGAACTCGCAATCTCCTGGTTTCTAGACCAAAATTCTTAATCACTATACCAAACTAACCAGCTAAAACAAATGGGACAATGGCATGAATACCCCTTCAGGTAGAATTTCTGCTATCTGGTCAAATATGGAAAATATCACCTACATGGCCATAGGGCATAAAAATAGCAGTTCCCTACGCTGGGGAACCAAAGCAAAGAAATGGAAGCACAGAAAAGGAAATGGTACAAAAAGCACAGCAGTGTATTTTCTCATCTTCTGAATAAGAAGAGGAAGTTAAACCACTATGGATGATCTCCATATACACAGAAAGCAATTTTACCTGTAATCAGAGGAGCAGTTATTTATCTGTCTGCAAAGAGAACACCAGAACTGAAAAATTCCAAATATCTTTTGATATTGCAAGCTGATATTTATTTAATGTAAAATTCAGATAAAATTGGTCTCTAACTTGTGTTCTTTGAATTGATGTATAAACATTCAGTCCCAATGGATGAGATTGGATACTGCATTCAGACTTAAAAGATGTTTTGGGCAAAGCTGAAATACAATTCCCAGAAGAAAACTGACCATTATAGTCTTGCCATGCCATGCTAAAAGTTAGTGAATTTAATTGAAAAGAATCATTGTATTTCTTACTACATATATTAGAGAAATGCTTAGAAAATATTTATATCCACTTCTAATCCCTGCAAACTAAGTTTTAGACCAGTAATCAAACCGACCTGGAGAAGAATCCAGGATTTCAAATTCATAATTTGGATTTGATTTTTTTTTGCATTTAAAGCCACCTTTACTATCAAATGAAAAATACTGAAAGACTTCAAAATTTTTTACTTACATCAGTATATTTATAATCACTGTTTGTGGCAAGAAACACCTTTCCCACCTCATTCATGCGACTCAACAGCAGTGGAAGCTTTCCCTAAAATGACAAACACTGACATAAAACTAATTCTCAAACATTTAAGTTAAATTTTATTTTGGGGTACTTCAAATGACCTAGCTGAAATAGCATCATGCACCTTAATGTTCTGAATAATGTCAAATACATATTTCAGTCTGCTTAAAATATCTTCTAAAATGATACACATCTTAACTATGCGGTACTGAATCTCATGCCAAGTTCTGTGCATATAATATAGTTGGTTCAATGTGATAGCATAAAGGGCAGTTTTGTAAGTACATCCTTACTATGTGTTAAGTTCCAGACAAGAGGATAGTTACAGTTAAAGTTGGACTTTGTAGAATGGAGCAATTTTCTCATAAATCATTTAATAATGTGTGAAAAAGTGACATTTTAAAACATTATAAAAACAGCTGCCAAATAGATTTTACAGAAACAGTTACAGTATTTATTTTTGACAGTCATGAACAGGGATGCACTGAATACCTCCCCTTTGGATGAAGAGAAGCTTGAAAGAATGGACACAGCCTTGTGGAACTATCAAGTCCAGAGAGCGGAGGATGTCACATTCAGGAATCCTACACCCCCTTTAAATGCTGCAGTTCAGATGCCAGATCCTAAGTCCCAAATGGTACTGCCACCACTGAATTCAAGACCTAAGGCTGCACTGATATCTTGGAAAGATTTCTGTGTCTTCTTTGTGATGTTGTCTCTCTTGCTACTGTCCTTACATTTTTGGTAGCAGAAGAGGACAAAGTTTCTTTAACAATATGATTCATTGAAGTTCCATTTCTTCTTCTTTTTCCCCTTAGTAAATGTCTGGGCGGGGCTAACCTTGGAGCCAGTGCATTGGTATGGATGCTACTGGACTATGACCATCTCTTGTATTTGTTTTATTTGAAAATAAGACCTTTCAAATTGTCACTTCACCCATATTTTTTTTGGTGCTATTCCCTGCAGGTGACTTTCTCTACCCTTGTCTGTAAGAAAGGCAAAGTTCTAACTATATTTTACATATCTTAATATACAAGTTTGTATTTCATTCTCAATTGCAGGTTCAAAATGGTCTCTCACTCTTGAGACAATAATGTAAACATCAAATTTGTTTAGAAGTGCTTATTATCGTGTATACCTATCAGATCTTTATAGCAAGAATGGTGAATGGAAGATTCACAACTTTTGTTTTCTCTGTTTTCTCCACCGACACCAATTTAGCAATCCAAACAGAGTAGTGGCCTTTTGATACTGTTCTCTCTTTTCCATTGTAAATAGTTAACTTGTTCCATTTGGACTCCACTGAGATGGACAGAAGTCTGCGGCTTATCAGTTGTCAAAACCTTTCTTTTGTAAGATTACTTTTCAGGCCACATCAATTGGTAGTTTTTGTGAAGTTATACAAAATGTCTATGGCCTCTGCAATTATGGCAATGTCATTATAGAGGTAATCCTCAATTTACGAACATCGCTTGGTGACCATAAGAAATTACAATAGGCCTACCAGGAGGGACCGTGATTTATAATCTAGATTTGAAGTTCCAACAGTCGCTCCTCCCATGGTCTCATGATCAAATTTCAAATGCTTGGCAACCTAGTTGCATTTACAGCTGTTTGCAAGGCTCTGCAGTCACATGACTGGGTTTTATGGTGTCCCCGCCCCCCAAAAGCAGCATTTACTTCCAACTTTTGGCAACGCTACACCCATACTGAAACATTGGTTCACTTAACAATTGTAGCATTCATTTAACGATCACGTCAGCCATTTTACAACCACCGTATTCACTTAATGACTGCCACAAAAAAGGTGCCCAACCCATTTTTATGACAGTGATAGACAGGTGCCATATAGTCACAAGTTAGGACTATATCAAACATTTTTTTAAAGTACTACTTCAAATTGGAATTCTGAAAGATCCATTTTGGATGTGTATACAGCCAGTGCATTTACTATAAATTCCTTACAGTAAGCATACCCCTTTGGGGGACTATATGTTCGATTTTCAATGCTATCCACAAAGCTGATTAGTACACACTGTTGAAGGAAATCAATGAATACAATGGGCATTTATATGCCAGAGCAATTTTTCTTCTTCTAACAGTTGTCTGATGGTGAAATTTGATCCCGGCACCATTGTACTGTTCCCTAGTTGTTCATGCTATTTCTAGAAATGTGGGTGGATGACTGCAAAAAGGGATTATTATGATCAATTTTCATGTAACGGGAGGTTCCCTGAATTGCGTGAATGCATTCACTGTGTCCCATTATCGCCACCCAGTTTCGAATGCCTCAACTGAGACTCCATCCATTCTAGCAGCGTAAGCATTTTCACTACCTTTATTGCCCCTCTTACTCTCTCAGATTTAGGCTCAACACCCAAGGCCTAAGATCCCAACCTTTCAATGAGTGATAGATTTCTGGGTTTCCCATCCTTACAGTCACTCATTTCAAGATTTTATAAATATCCCATCGGCCTTGAGTTTGTTGATTTAGTTTTTTTCACTTAGTTATCAGAGAATGGCAAAGAGGGTGTGGTGCTTGTGTTTCTGTGCAGCTTTTGTTCCAGTTCCAAACAATGGTGTTCCAGCCTCTTGCTCTGCCTTTTAGCTGATGGCAAACTTCAGATCTGAGCTGCCCTTATCAATACATGTATTGTCTGCCAACTTGATCTATGTTGGTCTACTGATTCTAGGCATCCCTCCAAGTTCCATACTTGTGTTTGGTCTCAAATAGTCAGGCACATGCTTTTGACATGCGTGTAGATAGGTTCAGAGACTTGTTTTTCATCCACCTCCATGTCATCAGACAATGTCAGAGTAGAAAACCAGTTTGCTAATGTTTAAAATTCTTTTTAATCCCAGTTCAGCCAGTTTGGACCAGTACTGCTTTGCTGATGAATCACCTGTCATTTTACATGTTGGAGCTTAATTTGAATTTTTGCCCAGAGTAAGTAATGGTGAGAGCCACAGTCATTACCTTGTACCACATATCCAATTTGAAAGGTAAGTAATGAATGCTTCCAGTTTGATATTAATGCCACTTAATAAGAAAAAAGGGAAATACTACATTATCTCCATCAATAAGGACAATATTTATTAGAGCAATTATATCATTGGCAGCTTCTAGATAAAATTACTCTCGTTTGGTGGACTTCCTGTTTTCCATCCACTATTTTAAGTGACTGCGTATTAAGATCAATTAAGAATTAGCAAAATAAACCACCATCTAACTTCTTTCTTAAAGCAAGTTTTTGAATACTTACATCTTTCACCACATACTTGTATAGATTCTCAACTGTCTTCTCCTTAAGTGAGCCCTGAAACAACAGAAAAAAACTTACATGGCAGCAGAAGCGATGATCTAATAAGTATCTTACTTGTGTTTCATATTAATATAATCTTCCATACTGTCATCATGTAGAAAGATGTGTGACACTAAAGACAGAAAGTTCTTTGCAGAGTTTCAGATGTCAAGAGATTAGTCTTGATTATTTCATTGTAGAACTGGACAGCTCTAAGGGTCATTTATGACATAAGGATGAAATATGAGTCAAAGTGCCATTCAGATGATGGAACATAGTCATTTCTGTTCTAAAACTGACAACATATGATAATTTAAAGCTACAGGGTGGCGCTATCCTCAACTTTGTCTGGATGACAGGCCACCATGGCCTGTCTTTATATTCAGTTTTCTCTCTTTATATAAACAGCAGAATAGGATAGAGAGAAACTGAATATAAAGAGTGTAAGAAGATTGGCAGCTGTTTCTGTGATGCGTTACAGCTACTAATCTCTAGACGCAAGGAGGAAACAGAAGTACTAAATTAACGGGAGAATGAAAGAAGAGTAAAAAGTAATTCATTTTGTATCATATCTTGTCCAATTATCTTGCTGGGATACTAATGGTATTTAGCATTTATTCATCAGCGAAGAAAAAAAATAAAATTATTAAAATGATACGATTCAAAACTTAGAAACAGTGTTTCAATTAAAGAAATCATCTAAACGTCCCCAAAATGCAGGTTACCTTATAATGAACCCAGTCCACAGCATCTCTCACATCCTGGAACATGCTTCTGAAGGACATGAAAAGGTCTCCCTCTTTAAATCCTGTTTCACAGCTGAGAGGCAAATGAAATAAAATAGCCATGTAGAAATTTCATGAGGCTTGAGAAACGTTATGTAATTAAAAATGACATCGGTGTCCTTAGGTATAAACTGAAAGCAGTTTCCCATCCCTTCCTCCTAGGTTTTTATTTACATATTTTGTATATTTCATGAATAGGCATTATGCATTATCCATCTTTTCAATTACTCTCTTCATTGATTCAAAGGGAATCATTTTTTTCCAGTGAGCGAGGAAACCCTGTTATCTTACTGACAGTTAAATCACAATATTTTGTTTAAAAAAAGGAATAATCCTTTATAAATATTTTCTGCATTCTGAAACAACCATGTCACTATGTTGTGTTTTTATACAGTTGCATTGGAAAATCTGGCTACCATATGGCCTTGTTGATTTCATATAGCCAAGAAAATACTCACCTTGAATATCTGTCACAATTAGTAAAGAAATCAATCAGACAAGCCAACAGATATGTCTCTGCAAAAAAGCAAAACCAAGGCAAGACCAGATCTTAAAAAGAATGATTCGTCAAATAGACATACCTATAATTAATCTAAACCAAGAAGATATAAAAGTGTTCCTTTAAAATTAATAGCAATGTACCTACTGATCTGGACTACATAATTCCCCCTCTCAATTCTCACCTGGTAAGTTGAACAGTGTGTTTAAAATGTAAAACCTGTCAGTATCATCTCTCTGAATGAATTTATTAGGATACTGTTCTCGTATTTCTGGCCTGAGGAATATAAAGGACAAAAGAATATGGTAGTTAATGATATCAGTTCAAAGTAATTCCTCTACTGCATACTGTAAGGTTCAATCAAGAGTCAACAAGCCTATGAGAAAGCCAAGTTATCTCTTAAAATTTCCAAGAAAACACTGCGCCCTGAGTAGATTATATGATTTTTTTTGAAGGTGACACCTAATCTTTTATCCATGTAGTGCTTTTGCATACAAAGTACAAATTTTTGAAACCATACTTATTGACTAAAAGATCACAAAAATATTATATTGGTTTACCAATCTATTGATAGGAAAAAAAACAGGAATAAGATAATGTTAAAAATAATTTCTGACAGACACTAACAAACCTCAAAGTCATTACGAGATGCTATACCGTGTGCAACAGAATATATCCCAGCTGTGCATAAGATCACCAATATTTGCATCACTTACCCTCTCATAAAGTTAAAGCCATGTGCACACACTAGGATGTTCCCATAGGCATCAACTTTTAACAGGTTTCCATAAAGAGAATCAAATACCAGGCCTCTATTAAAAAAAAAAAGAAATGCAAGGATGCATGTCAGCATCTCATAATAAGCAATGATAAACAGCAAGACTTTGAAAGATAGTCTGTTGGAATGGCATACCTGAGCCAGTTCTATCACGTTCTGTCCAAATTAGAATCTGACCCTAAGGAGGACACTGATGATAGAGTCCCATTGAACTTTTGTTTAGCTGCAGAGGAAAAAATAGTCTGCATTGCCTGGTTTAAATGTACAGTTAATCTATTTGTTTATAATTAATTAATTCATTTATCTTAACAGCAAGGTATTTTGCCAGAACAATTTTGGCAGCATTTACTTCTCAGAATTTCACTACAGTTTGCTAGACTTAACCCAAAATCGCGGTTAACATTTTTATTAGTTCGAACAAGCCAGCTTGAGAAATAGTTCTTAGAAGTTTGGTTTATTTGAAGCTAACCATACATACTATTAAACAAAAGTTGCCACACCCTATGCTAATGTCTGGCCATCCAGAAGAATAAGAGGGACCATGTGAGCCAACGTTCACTGAAGTTTTTCTACAACTTCCTAAAGCACACTCAAATATTATGTGCATATACAATCAGTATGGATACAGTACACATTTAAGTGTTATATAAACATTAAAATCTCAATGAAATATTAGAGGCTACCAGCTTACCAGGAGGCTTTGATTAGAACAAGTTATAAAGTCAAAGTACTCTTTTTATGTTTCAGTGCAACAATGTCCTAGTTACATGGAAATACAATATATTGAATTTAGACAATAAATGAGGTTGAGGGATGTATAATGCTTTCTCGGCTTGATAATTATCTGACCCTCTTCCCATTTATCCCTCTATTAAATTCTCCTATCAAAGTAGCCTCAATTGGCTGAACAATGCTTGAAAAAGAGGCTGGATATCTGAAAAAAAGTAAACTGCTATATTGGGTGTGGCTATAAATTAAGACTTCAGATTGTCTATTCTATTTTCTCTGGTTTCATTGCCAATCCATTTTATGTGTTATGTGGGCCTCTTTTCTTCCCATTAATGTGTCATGGTTTTTCCTTACCCATGATGTGACATTATCCTATAGTGCATTTCTCAGACCCCGCTCTACATCAATAGTTGCTGTAGAAAGATAGGCATAGAATGTTCAAGGTATAAAGAGTTTAATTTTTATGTTAAGTCAACAATACTGAGAGAAAGATGAGATTGTGATTTAAGAAAGTAGAGTGGAACATATTTTCTGCAATGTATAATATGTCCCCAGGTCTGAGAGAACAAGGAATTAATAACCAGACCTAATAATAATTTATTAAAATTGTACACTGCCTTTTAACACCTCTGAGCAGTTCACAACAATCAAACTAAGAAATTATAATGAACTGCAATAGCTAAAACGTTCATTCTGTAATCAGTGAAGAGAAATCCAAATACATTTGGATTTAAAAACTAAATGCATACTGCTGATTTGAACCATGACTGTTTAGTCTGATGCCAACAGCAGAACTACATGGCTTGACCAAATGCAAGTGGACTTCACATCGAGATAGTGTAGAATGGTGAAATTTAGGGATCCCCAACCCTCGGCCATAGACCGTACCAGAACTGGGCTGGGCAGGCAAATGAAAACCCATCCATGCATGTGTGGAATCCAGGCAGTGCACAAAACCACACCCCTGGTCGACGGAAGAAACACCCTTCCAGAAACCAGTCCCTGGAGCCCAAAAGGTTGGGGCCGCTGATGGGATTCACAATGAGTCTAGATTGTAATCTTTGCCCACATTATACTGTGAAAGTTTGAAAGCTTCTTAGAAAAATGTAAAGTATTCACTGGGGAAAAACAATCTGGACAAATAGATTTGTCTTTCTTTTCTTCACATTCTCATGATTAAGGCTTGATTCCCATGTTTATTCTTGTATACTATGTGCTATAAAAAAATTTATACCATATTTTTATCAGGGAGTATTTCCCTATTAAATAGCACCTCAAAAGTTTTACATAAATCATCATTAAAAATTAAACAAGTGAGCCTAATAAAAAGTATCAAAATGTGAAGCTTTTTTAAAATATACATTTTATAAAAAGGCTTATATTTTTATTCACTAGTAAATGAACTATACATTCTAACAATGTTGCCAGAAAGATTCAGGGAAAGGTTCACAGAATTATATAATATAAAGGATTGCAAAGGATCTTTGGAAATCCTCTAATCCTACTCCTGACCAATGCCAGAAACCACTACTGAACTATAGTATCCTTGTCAGATGGCCAACTATGATGCTTTCAGTCCCACTAAGTTCTTCCCAAAGTCCAGAGCAACTTAGAAGTCTCCAACATAGCACAAAGAATTATCTGAGATAAATGTGCAAAATATGGCAGTCCTGATACACTCAAGAAAGCACCTTAGGAAAGACACAGATCATTAAAAATTCTTGAATATCCATGAATATTATCCCCAAATGATTTTGTGAGTAGTAGTCATTTAGTTGTCATAAATTAAACTTATAAACTTTACATTTATAAAATGGCAAAACATTAGTCTAGAGGAGTATTTATGCCTATCTGCTCTGCAGTTCTCTTCTATTTATTTGTATTTTAAGACACATTATCTAATAATACATAAACTTAAAGTTGCAAGATATATATGCAGTTTACCGTATATGAACTATAACACCTTAAGCTTAAAAGTATCACTTAAACTGTACAGAACAAACACAACTTTAAATTACAATTATTTACCTGGTAGGGAATGTAGGATCATAGACAAAACTAAGCAGCTCTTGAGGATATCCAATTGAAACTAACCGTTCGACGGTCAAGTCAAATCCAAGGGATTCATATTCTGGAGATTTATACACTATGATAAAATGAGAAGATTCCAATTAGAAAATACAAAAGAGAAAGCAAGAGAGATGTCACATCTAAGCAAATCAGAAAATTTTCATTAATTTTACCAGTCTTTACAGACAGTTCAGCAGACATAAAGCAATGACTGAGGTGTTTGTTATATTTCTGTAATTCTATTGATTGTAAAGTGTCTATTTGCCCTTCAAGGTTGGTGCATAATCTGGGGTCTTGTCATCTATCAGAACTTCTTTCTCTGTAGCATTGCCTGCCTTCTGGAATGAGGTTCCCCTGAGATCTAGATGGTCCCCTCTTTGCTGTTGTTCAGAAGACCTATGAAGACCCAGATCATTGGCAAGGAAGAGTGAGACCCTTTGTTTATTTCATCTGGACATCTGTACTTGCCATATTTTACCTTTAATGGTTTTATTGTAATATGTTTGTTGTGAGCCACCAATAATTGTTGAATTAAGTGGCATACAAGTTTAATAAACTATTATGGTTTATTATATCATCCAAATGTTTAGATTGGATTTGGCATTTTTATTCACCCACTGAATCCTTCCCAAGGACCTAGGGTAGCCAGATGTTGAAGTTTGATGGTGTTAGAGGTATCAACATAGAATGCAAGCTGTTCTGAATAAATTCTCTTTTTTGATTGACAGATGGTGAATTTGTCAATGCTGATCGTGTTCAAATGGTGCTCTAGTTGTTTTGGGATTGCATTCAATGCGCCTTTGCTTTCTTTTCCATAGTCATTCTATTTCTATTTGCATGGTCTTTGTATTTTGTTCCAGTTCTTTGTCTTCTGTTCAGCTGTCTCCAGGGATTGCCATGTCTACTATCCAGAGTTTTTTTTGACTTTGTCAAAATTATTAAGTTTGGTGTGTTATGTTGTAGGTTTGAATTCTAAAGTCCCACAGCTATTTAGTTTCTTCATTTTCTATGACTTTCTCAATTTTATAGTCCCACCAGTTCTTGCAAATAGGTTAATTATATTTCTTACAGATCTTTCAGTACACCATTGTTGCTACTTTGTTGTGCCACTGTTTGCAGTCAGTCTGTGAGATCTTCTTGCAGCAACTAACTAAGTGGCCCACTGTTTCTTCAGCTTCTTTGCAGAGGCAGCATTTCCTGTTTTTTGCTGCCTGCTCAATTATAGTTCTGTATCCATTTGATTTTAAGGCTTCCAGATTTGTCTTTCTTCAGTTTTCCTGGTCTTAAGACATGGCCAGAGTCTTGTTAATATCTGTTTTGCCTGTTATTTTTTGTATGTATTGGCCATGTATTACTTTGCCTTGCCGTGTGTCATTTTATTCTTCATATTATTTATGATTGGTTAACAGTCAGATGTTTACTTTGGAACTGGCATTTTTATCCACTTTCCAAGTCCTTCCTAAGATAGATGTTGTTTTTTGTTGGTGTTAAAGGAAAACAAAACTCTTGACTCCATTAAGTTCAATCAAAATAACTTTTACTGAGAGAAAGTGGTTGCAGTAAAGTCAGGTGGAATCTGATAGCCCCGCACAAAGCAATTCTTCAGTTCCCCAAACCCAACACCCCCACCAGTCTACCAACAGCTGTGATGCTGCAAAGTTGTTTTGAGAATGCAGAGGTGCTAGGCAGATAACAGTTCATTCTCAGGGCATAATGGCCTTGGAACCAGGCTGGAGTGGCTGGGGCAGAGTCTGTTCTATCTCCAAAGACAATCCCCCTCCCTAATTCCCAAGCAGTTTCAGCAAAAGCAAAAGCATGTGGAAAATGCCAGCAAGCTGCCCCCCCCCCCCCACACACACCAGAATGGCAGGGCATGACAGAGAACCTGTCAGTCGCATGATTTAAACTACTACAAGTAAAGCTGCCTTTTGCAATTGACTGATGGTGATTTTTGTCAATGGCAATGCTGTTTAATGGTGCTCCAGGTGTTTTGGTATTGTGCTCAAAGCACCTACTACTACTGAGATTATCTTTGCTTCCTTTTCCATAGTGGTTCGACTTCTATTTGTAATTTGTGACTTTCTCCAGTTATGTCTCTTCTATTCTGCTGTCTCCACCTATTGCCACATCCAGACGTTTTTAACTTTCTTATTGAAAATTGTTAACTCTGGGGTATTATATGTGGCAGGTACTTTTCTGTTTGAATTTGAAAGTCCCAGAGCCCTTTAGCTTCTTCTTTTTCTATGATTATGTCTCTTTGTAGTAGTAGTAGTACATAACTGACTGTACATTATCTACGGTTCAGTATATGGTATTATGTCAAGTGGCCTTCTTATTTGATGTACAGAAGAGCACACATTATCCAAAGATTTTGATAACACCAACTCTTACTGCAGAGATATGTAGACAGCAAGTACATATATACTCAAATTGTCAATTCCAAGAAAAAACAGTTCTTTCTAGCATCCCAAAATAACTTCAGCTGATAAATACATGTATTATGAAAAAACATGGTACATATTCCATCAGACCATGTTATAAACCTGATCAGAGTATGCACGTATAACTAAACTGTATAAAAACTTAATTGAATCTAGAGATTTTTGGAGGAAAGTGAACAACTGGCTGTGGAAAATCATTCAGTAATACAGAATAAGTAAGTGATAATGTGTGAAAAATTCATAGTGCATCCTTACTGACTGCTGCAAATGTCCAGCTATACTCCCCCAATCTCCATTCAACCATGAAAAGAACCCCAAAAGTAATAGACTAGAGATGATTTGTTAAGGGTCACAATCACAGTCCTATCAATTCCACAGTGGAAAGCCAATTAATCCCTAGCATTACATTTATTATATAGAAGCAATGTAGTATTTCTACTTTCCTAAATGAAGAAAGATGTAGAGTTTTGGAAACATTGGGAAACCGTTACTAACTATCCAGGTAATTTTTTGGAAGGTGCCCCAAACAATCAAAAGCCCTTTGATATTTATAGGACGTGTGCCATGTTGTCTAAGCAGCTAACTGTTTCACAGACTGAACACGTGTAACCAGAGCTATTTTTTCTGAAACATTCATGATATCTACAAGCAATCAGTTATAATATTTTTGACTGAGGAGTTGCAGTTTGCAACAGAAGGCAACAACTAGCCAACCTTGCTTGTTCTTGTAAAAGCCAACTGGGATTAACTAGGAAAATGAGAAAATATTCCAAAATATCCAAACTAGGAAAATGAGAAAATATCCCAAAAAGGTGGCATTGGTCAACAATCTTTGTACCGTTGCCAAGAAAACTACATGAACTTATCCAAGTCATAAGGAGTTAATATTGCCTTGAAGACTTCTTGTACAAGTTAACTCTAAAAGGGGAAAGAAGGTTATAAAGCACAGGAAAAAAATCTTGTATTTCAACAGAAAAAAATTTCTGATAATTTTTTAATAAACAAAGAAAATCAAGAAATATTGCAAATTCTGAATCATTGCATAATACAGATTAAATAAGAAAGGATCAATACAATGTTAAATAACATTGTAATTTGATTGTTGCTGTTATCAGAAACGGGGGAGAATTTGGATTTTATTCATTCTTGATTTAATTATTTGATTTTATAACTTTTATGGAAATATTGTAAACTGCCAACAATTTTGCTTGAGTGCAACAGTTTATATAATGATGATAGACATACTATATGGAAATATATAAAGGAAATTTAGATTCTAAATACAATAGTAAAGACGCAACCTTAAAAATTATAATGAAATTTTAATCCTGAATTTTCTTGCTATTAATTTATGCTTTTCAAACAATATTTCCAGAAAAAGTGGGATTTCTTGAAATTCCCCAAGATTCCCTAATGAAAAGAGTTGTAGGTGTTTACTAATATCTATTACTATGCAACAGCCACTCTATGAATCTTTTTGTATAATTTGGTATCACCACATCATGACTATTGTGTTCTGGGCACAGCTCTAGAATCATGTGCAGGCCAATAATGTAATCAGTTCTAGATCTGTTTTGGTGAAGTTGATTAATCAGACAAATCAATCTTCAAATAAAATCCTGGCATCACAAAATGAAGAGCAAAAAAGTGATGTTTGACACAAACCTTCTGTTTCTCTACTTTGATAACTTGATATAGTTTTCAGGGTTCAAGTCTCTGTCCATGGAATTTCATCACAGTTTTTTTCTGTAAAGCACTTGTATGAAAGATATTTTGTGCTTTGGGGGGGGAGGGGGAATAGACTTAATAGAAAACTTATAGTAAAGATTTTATTTGCACATTGAAACTCCCCCTCATTACAGACCAGCAAATTAGGTTTTTTAATCACACATATTACATCAAAACATGGAGGAAAACAAGTATTTGGGTTTTGTTCTCAAAAGGGTTAAAATAGCAAATCAAGAATAAATATAGCCTGTAGCTTACAAAAGTCCTGTAGCCATATTGCTTACGGAACAAATGCTGAAAACTTGTTTCCTTCCATTTTGAGCGCGAAAATTCTCATCATCATCATTAGGTCCTTTTGCAGAGCACATTGGACAACAAGTATTTTCCATTAGTTTTGATCATTCACAGAGAAAATAAATGATGTTTTTAACATAGGCCTTAAATGGACTAGCATAAAGAACCAAAAAGAAAAATCCCGGAAATCCCAAAGTACATGAAAAAAACCCAGTTTCCTTTGATTCACTGCCTCAACAAACGCAGATGCCTAACCCCACAATTGGCTACCAAAAAGTAAATGAAAATTAACTCCAATGCCATAATTAAAGTCTGCCATAAGAATAGCAAATCACAGGATTAAAAGTGAACAGCTGGTGATTGTAGCAGTTAGTACCAGCTGATTTTGACTTTTTCCACAAAATGGAGCCAAAAAGAAAGCACAGATGCAAGCTGAAATTCATATATCAAATCTGATGCAATGCATCAATTTATGAAGTGACCGTAGCCAAGCAGTCTCTTTCCAAACATTTTTTTTACAACCACATGTATTATTCCCATAGAAGGCTTTGTGGTTTGTACGACCTCAAATACTTTGCACATAACACACAAGAATGTACAACAACATAGCTCT